GGTCTTTGTGTGAGTCTGTGGGTCTTTGTGTGAGTCTGTGAGTCTCTGTGTGAGTCTATGGGTCTGTGTGTGAGTCTGTGGGTCTTTGTGTGAGTCTGTGGGTCTTTGTGTGAGTCTGTGAGTCTCTGTGTGAGTCTATTGGTCTCTATGTGAGTCTATGGGTCTGTGTGTGAGTCTGTGGGTCTTTGTGTGAGTCTGTGGGTCTCTGTGTGAGTCTGTGAGTCTCTGTGTGAGTCTATGGGTCTCTGTGTGAGTCTATGGGTCTCTGTGTGAGTCTATGGGTCTCTGTGCGAGTCTATGGGTCTCTGTGCGAGTCTATGGGTCTCTGTGCGAGTCTATGGGTCTCTGTGCGAGTCTATGGCACTCAGTGTGAGTCTGTGTGTCTCTGTGTGAGTCTGTGGGTCTCTGTGCGAGTCTATGGGTCTCTGTGCGAGTCTATGGGTCTCTGTGCGAGTCTATGGGTCTCTGTGTGAGTCTATGTGTCTCTGTGTGAGTCTATGTCTCTCTGTGTGAGTCTGTGGATTTGTGTGTGAGTCTATGGGTCTCTGTGTGAGTCTATATCTCTCTGTGTGAGTCTATGGGTCTCTGTGGGAGTCTATGGGTCTCTGTGTGAGTCTATGTGTCTCTGTGTGAGTCTATGTCTCTCTGTGTGAGTTTATGTCTCTCTGTGTGAGTCTATGGGTCTCTGTGTGAGTCTATGGGTCTCTGTGTGAGTCTATGGATCTGTGTGTGAGTCTATGTCTCTCTGTGTGAGTTTATGTCTCTCTGTGTGAGTCTATGGGTCTCTGTGTGAGTCTATGTGTCTCTGTGTGAGTCTATGTCTCTCTGTGTGAGTTTATGTCTCTCTGTGTGAGTCTATGGGTCTCTGTGCGAGTCTATGGGTCTCTGTGTGAGTCTATGGATCTGTGTGTGAGTCTATGCCTCTCTGCAGGAGTCTATGGATCTGTGTGTGAACATATCTACCATCGAACAAAGACGGTCACTGCATCGCGCGCTTACAGATGCGCTTCTGCGGCCGTCTGGAACGCTCTTCCTTCCGATATTAGGAAGCCACTGGAGCTACGCACTCTTAAATCACCGTCTATATTGACAACTCACTTTTTAGAACTACTCGTTGTTGTTTAGTTTATTGTCCTTTCCCCCGCACCTCCGATTAGCACGGTTGGCTACGTACGGTGCGAAAGAAGTTCAACATGCATGCATTGCTGTACTGCCTCTTCGTGGAGAGCCAGGGTATAGCACCTCCGACACCCTTTTTTAAACTATAAAACCCAACTATTTTTTTTATTTTACGAGGTACGACCAACTGGGCTATACAGCTCGTTTCCGGAAGCAACCTGGCCACAAGTGACAGCCCAATAAAGTGGCTCACCATCAAGTGGAAATTTATAGAGGTCAACAACTCTAAACGCGTGATGTTCATTCTAAATGTGGAGGGGAAAACCCGGGGGACCCGGAGAAAAATCCGCGCGACACGCAAACTTCAAATATACAGCAGCAGGCGTCAGGGTCGGGATCGAACCCACGACCTCCTGTATACCGGACGAGGTATCAACATCTCCTAGCCACCGTGATGATGATGAGAAAGGGAGACACGCAAACTCCAAATATACAGCAGGCGTCAGGATCGGGATCGAACTCACGACCTCCTGTATACCGGACGAGGTAGTTAACATGTTCTAGCCACCGTGATGATGATGAGAGAGAGAGAGACACGCAAACTCCAAATATGCAGCAGGCGTCAGGATCGGGATCGAACTCACGACCTCCTGTATACCGGACGAGGTAGTTAACATGTTCTAGCCACCGTGATGATGATGAGAGAGAGAGACACGCAAACTCCAAATATGCAGCAGACGTCAGGATCGGGATCGAACCCACGACCTCCTGTATACCAGGCGAGGTATCAACATCTCCTAGCCACCGTGATGATGATGAGAGAGGGAGACACGCAAACTCCAAATATACAGCAGGCGTCAGGATCGGGATCGAACTCACGACCTCCTGTATACCAGGCGAGGTATCAACATCTCCTAGCCACCGTGATGATGATGAGAGAGGGAGACACGCAAACTCCAAATATACAGCAGGCGTCAGGATCGGGATCGAACTCACGACCTCCTGTATACCGGACGAGGTAGTTAACATGTTCTAGCCACCGTGATGATGATGAGAGAGAGAGACACGCAAACTCCAAATATGCAGCAGACGTCAGGATCGGGATCGAACCCACGACCTCCTGTATACCAGGCGAGGTAGTTAACATGTTCTAGCCACCGTGATAATGATGAGAGAGAGAGACACGCAAACTCCAAATATACAGCAGCAGGCGTCAGGGTTGGGATCGAACCCACGACCTCCTGTATACCAGGCGAGGTAGTTAACATCTCATAGCCACCGTGATGATGATGAGAGACACGCAAACTCCAAATATACAGCAGGCGTCAGGGTTGGGATCGAACCCACGACCTCCTGTATACCAGGCGAGGTAGTTAACATCTCCTAGCCACCGTGATGATGATGAGAGAGAGAGAGACACGCAAACTTCCAAATATACAGCAGCAGGCGTCAGGGTTGGGATCGAACCCACGACCTCCTGTATACCAGGCGAGGTAGTTAACATCTCATAGCCACCGTGGCGATATGGGGGGGGGGGGGTCGTGCAGTTTCGGGCAACATCATCTGCGTGCGGCGATCCACCGACTCTCGCTGCTGCTGCCTCCACAGAGCAATGAACGATGACTTCATTATTACAAAGGCGTGCGCCACGCGCTAACCCCCCACGTGTGTGTTGAACTTCTTTCGCACCGTACGTAGCCAACCGCGCTAATCGTAGGCGCGTGGAGGCGGGGGGGGGAGGTCAGAACCGGCCCTAGACCTTTGGGGGCCCTAAGCAAAATTTGGTTGGAGGCCCCTTTGATGCATGATTTTTTTCACCCACGAGCTAGCAGTGACTCTAGGGGGCCCTCTGCTGGCCACGGGGCCCTTTGCAATTGCAAGGGTCGCTTAGTGGCTGGGCCGGCTCTGGGGGAGGTCAACACAACTCAACAGGAAAAAAAAGCTAATTTTTAAAGTAATCCAACTCTTTGGTTATTTCGGCAAAGTCACGTAGGCGAAAATAAAATAAGTTCAACATGAAGAGTGATGGATCCTTGCAGTCACGAAAACTTCTAATCTAGAATTAATCCAACACCGCCGAGACCCTCTCGCCTGGGACGCTTTGCGGACTCCCTCCTGTCCACCCGCCCGCAGAGGTCGCAAACGGGTTTTGATTCCTTACCCGTACCCGTACCCGGCCGCACCAGGGTCGAAAACGGGTACCCGTACCCGTAGCCTACCCGATACCCGGCTACCCGTACCCGGCCGGGTATCGGGTAGGGTACGGGTATCGGGTACCCGATTGCGACCTCTGGGATGAAGCCATGTTGCAGGCGCGGGTGGGTTGATTCTAGGAACTTGAATTGTGAGAAGAGACAAGACGTTTCGATTTAAAGCTTTCGTGACTGCAGTGATTCATCTTCTTGATTCTTTCGGTAAAGTCACGTAGAATTGAAGTAATAAAAGAATAAAAATAAAACATTGTTTTTTTTTATGTTTTCTGTTTATTATTTTATTATTTCCATTCTACGTGACTTTACCGAAAGAACCAAGATGAGACAAGACGTTGGGAAATGAGTGACAAACGGTTGCTCACCAGTGACTCACGGCCCACCCGTACCCGTACCCGGCCGCACCAGGGTCGCAAACGGGTACCCGTACCCGGCCGGGTACGGGTAGCCGGGTATCGGGTAGGGTACGGGTATCGGGTACCCGGTTGCGACCTCTGCCCGCACGCCACCACCACGGCAGCGGCGGCGGTGGTGGCGGTGGTTCAAGTTCATTTATTAGGTATAGCCCTGTGAGCCATTCGGCTCTTGAATCGGTTGCAACCGCAACAAAAAAAAACATGAACAAAAAACATCTTAAAGTGAATGGTGGTGGCGCTGACGGAACGGTCAGCCGGGCACGGCTTGGACGTCGCGATCCAGCGGTGGCCGGCTCTCTTCCAACCTGCTCCGGTGCTGCGCTACGAGTCGTCGTGGTCGCGACCCCCCCCGGCGGCCACGTAGATCCGTCGACTTGCGGCAACGCGGAGTCCAGCCACGGCCCCGCGTTCACGTGGCGCACCGGTGGCCTGGGGCTCTGCAGCGTGCAGGCGGTGCGTGACTCTGCCGGGCTCCTCGTCGCCTCTCCAGAGGCCCGGGGGGCTGGAGGGGGGGCATTTCATTCCGTACCCCAGGGCTCATGCCAACCACCCTGCACTGGTCTCCGAGTCTGTGGGTCTCTATGCGAGTCTGTGGGTCTATGTGAGTCTGTGGGTCTCTATGCGAGTCTGTGGGTCTCTCTCTATAGTAGTATTATCTCTATGCGAGTCTACATGTCTCTATGCGAGTCTGTGGGTCTCTATGCGAGTCTGTGGGTCTCTATGCGAGTCTGTGGGTCTCTTTGCGAGTCTATGGGTCTCTATGCGAGTCTATGGGTCTCTATATGAGTCTAAGGGTCTCTGTGTGACTCTATGGGTCTCTGTGTAAGTCTATGGCTCTCTGTGTGAGTCTATGGGTCTCTATGTGCGTCTATGGGTCTCTATGCAAGTCTATGGGTCTATGTGATCCTATGGGTCTCTGTGAGCCTGTGGGTTTCTATGCAAGTCTGTGGGCCTCTATGCGAGTCTATGGGTCTCTATGCAAGTCTGTGGGTCTCTGTGAGTCTATGGGTCTCTATGTGAGTCTATGGGGCTCTGTGCGAGTCTATGGGTCTCTGTAAGTCTATGGCTCTCTGTGTGAGTCTATGGGTCTCTGTGAGCTTGTAGGGTCTCGATGCGAGTCTGTGGGTCTCTATGTGAGTCTATAAATCTTTATATCAGCCTATGGGTCTCTATGCGAGTCTACGAGTCACACGCGCATCCCGCATCCGTCACGCGGAGCGGCAGCCGCAGGAAGGAGGAGGCCCTCTCCGTCGCGTCCGTTTCTTATAAACTTTTATTTCGTTGCGCACGTGCGACACGGCTCGCGTCAATCCACACAGTCGGCTGCAGAACGATCGGAGTTTGTAGGAGAGAGAAACCCAACGGACACAACAAAAACAAAACCACCGGCGTCATCGTCGTCGTCGTCATCGTCGTCGTCATCATCGTCGTCATCGTCGTTATCATCATTATCATCATCATCATCGTCGTCATCATCATTGTCGTCATCATCATTGTCGTCATCATCATCGTCATCGTCGTTATCATCATCATCGTCGTCGAACCCCACTCGCATGGAACGAGAGCCGACGCTTGCAGAGGCCTCGTCGCCAGCGACCGCGCACGACCAAACAACAAAAACCCGCCACCTTTAATTTCTGATAATTTTTGTTTTTGAGTGTGGGCAGAATGGGGGGGGAGGGGGTGGCCTTTGATTGCCACTCGAAATATATGTCTCCGTAGCCGGCTGTGGGTGTGCGGGAGTTCGGAGCCCCCCCCCCCCACCCAGGTCACTTGGAAGGGATTCAGAAGTAGTTCTTTGGCGTCATCTTCCGCGGGTCTTCCGAACGGGAGCGCTCCACGGCGCCCCTCGATCTTTCGCAGCAGGAACGTCGCGAAGCAAAGCCAGACTTGAGGGCGGACCCCGGAGGTGGAGGCCGTGGCACGCGCACGCACGCGCACTGCCGCACGCGCACGGACTCACGCGCACGCACGCGCACGGACTCACGCGCACGCACGCGCGCGCACGGACGCACGCGCACGCACGCGCACGGACTCACGCGCACGCACGCGCGCGCACGGACGCACGCGCACGGACTCACGTGCGCGACCGACGGAGAGGCGACGGAGGGGACGAGAGGTGGCGGTCGGATCGGCCACTGAACGGCACGGGCGAAGCACGACGCGCCGGCGACAGCACGACCCCCGACGCGGAGAAATCGCGTTCATACTCTTCGGTTCTTTCGGTAAAGTAACGTCGGTAGAAATAAAATAAAATAAAACAAATCACGCCGTTATTTCATGTGTGGCTTACCGCAGTCGCGAAAGCTTCAAATCGAGATTAAATTGCGTTTATTTAATTTGTTTTGGCTTCTGAACGTCGCGCGCGTACTTTTGTTTCGATGCCGAAGACGTCCAGCCGTCTTGATTGAGCAGACGCGTTCTAGACTGGATGCCTTCAAGCCGGGGCACGTCCCCAGTTAAAGCCTTTCACGGGGGCTGGGGGTAAGGGGGGGTGCAGGCTGCGGCATGGATACCGTGCAGGAGGTGCAGGAGCGCGACGCTGCGACGACTACGAACCACGACATCGAATGTTGACAGTCACGTGAGAGGCTGACGCAGATGCGGATACACAGAGGGGTGGAGGGAAGTGGGGGGCGGGGGGCGATGACCCCCCCCGCCCCCCACCTTTTGAGAACCCGGGGAAATAGGTATTTTATTTATATTTACCGGAAAAAAAAAGAAATCGCAGTTTTTTATTTATTATAATGTAGCAGGGGTGCCCTGTAACAAAATCTGGACATTTGGAAACCGCCCCCGCACGCAACCCGTCGCACGCAACCCGTCGCACGCAACCCGTCGCACGCAACCCATCGCACGCAACCCGTCGCACGCAACCCGCGCGTTTCGTCGCCGCGCGCCGGCGAGCGCCGTCAGGTTGCACGTCGCTCGGGAGTGGACAAAGCGGCAGGTTGGAGATTAGAGAGCCGCGAGATGCGAGCTTTTGTATTGTTTGTTGTCGTTGGAAGGTTCTGACCCCTTGCCCCGACATCTGTGAAAATTCGTTTTATAGCTCATCGGATTCCTCCGGTATATATATGAATATATATATAAATATTCTAACGATTGACCAGGTGTGGAGCCGGCTGAGGGTTACAGATTTCTCAGTCCATTACGGAGAGCGTGCGGTTCTCACTGCACTAAAGCTCAACGCGATGATGCGGGTCCATAGATGCCAAATCACGGAACGTCCGGGTCAAATCTGGTGCAGGTGGCAATCCCTAGCGCAGTGCTTATTCTTAACCTGAGGCGAGCACGCAACCCCTGGTGGTGCGAGAGATGCCCTTGCTGGGGGTAGCGAGACGTGGCCAGATTGATTTTTTTTATCGAAGGTAAATAATCGAAAACGCAAATTAAGCACGGGCAACGTAAGTGACAACTGCTTTTGTTTCATCAAAACCCTATGTAATTGTACACTTTTTTTTTACGATTTAGAACCCTAAAAGGGGTGCAAAGGCTGCGGTAAAGGTTGAGAAGCAGCGCCCGAGTGCATGGGCGAGTGGGCGAGGTACCGAGTGACTTTGGCAATTGCAACGAGTCACTCGATGAGGGTTGGGGGTGGGGAGGTGGACGAGTGGGTGAATATATGAGCGAGTGAGCGGTGCACATTTGGCCGACTTTTCCCAGCTGCGGACCAAACCCCGAACGCAATTTCGCAGTGAGCGCTCGATCTATAAAAGCAGGTCCGCCCAGCACGCACACCACAGTAAAGCTCAGCACGACAACACCGCTACAAGATCTCGGTAAGAGGGCATCAATCGCTTGCTGCAGGTGCCAATTGCCAGCCTGTTACCGCTGGCTCCTACCCCGGACGCGGGCGGCAACTATATTCGGAGTGAATGGACAAAAAACAAAATCAAACCGGGCCTTGCGTCGTCATCGTCATCATCATCATCATCGCTGTCAATGTTCACTCACTTAAAAATATCACACAAAGTTCAAATTAACTAAGAGGTGGAAAATAGCGGTGCTTTCTAGCAACTCGCACGCTCGTCACAAGCACAGGAAGCAGGTTATGGTCATTTAATCGCCGATAGCCGACTCAAAAAAACAACAACATCAACATCAATGGAGGAAAAAAAAGAAATGGGGAAATGCGAGAGAGGGCCGTCGTTGCGATGTGAATCGTGGACGAGTGTTTTATGTACAGCTAGGCCGAGACCCGTCCCCCGGAAGATACAGGGAGGGCAGGGGATGCGATGCCTCTAGTAATCATCCGCTGCGAGCCAAGACGGACGGGCAAGAGAAGGCGGACGGACGGACGGTCGAGACGAGCACGGAGGAACGGAGGGAGGCAGAGAGAGAAAATGACAGAGAGAAAGAGAGGCAGACGGGCAGAGACAGAGAGACAGGGATAGACAGAGACAAACACAAAGAAGAGACACAATATGGAGACAAACAGAGGAGGGGGACAGAGAGGAAGAGACAGGGGGACAGGCAAGGAAAAGGTTAAAAGCATTGCAATGAATTCATAGACCAGCAATGCATCACAGTACAGGCGAGGATACAACGAGTGGATGAGAAGATAAGCAAGCAGAAGGTGAATCGTGGGTAAGGTGGGCCAATAACAACAACAACCGCAGTTCACCACGTTGACGTCACCACGGCGCTTGTGCCACGCTAGGTGCACTTTGTGTCAATAAGATGCCCGACACCAGCGTTTGCCAAAATCCCAGTTCTCGTGACCTCCTCGCGTCCACCTCGTCACGTTTACCAACCTGCCCCGGTTCGAGTGTAAACTTCAATCGTAATACGCGCTAAACTTGCCCGATGATTGGTGAACCCGTCACGTGTGGCCTACAGAGGGCACCGATTGGATAAAAAAAATAACGTGTCCCACGTAATTGGACCAATTAAAATCGGAATAGGAACCGTGTCTGTGTGCGTGTACAGGGTGTGGGGGAGCGGTAGTGTAGTGGCTAGAGCACTGCACGACACGCCCAGCCACCCGAGTTCGATTCCCACTCGCGGCCAACATCGGCGACGATTATCCGAACCGTCCCCGTGCCTCCCCTAATTGGAGCACCTGGTGTGTGGTGTGTAGACAACATCGCCGCTGGGGAGACAGGTGGCCGGCACGGTGTTGGCCACCCACCATCTTCGTGTGCCGTGCCGGCTTTAAATAGGTGCGCGCTAATGCCACTTGCCCCAACGGTCTGTTTAAGGCTATACGGGAGATCTTTGTCTTTGTGCCCGCATGGAGATTTTGGAAAATCGATCAGTCGCTGCCGCGATGGTCCAGCGGTAGCCGCCCGTTGCAGAGGCGTCGAGGTTCGAATCGAGTGGCCACCCTGGTAAATCCTGCGGCGAGCATTAATCGCAGCGATGATACGGAGAGCGACCTCCGTTTCGCCTGAGCGTCGTTGGCGAAGAGTAAGGCACCGGGGGGCTGAGCGTGCCACCGGCGATCAGGGATACCCAAAAAAACGTCGCGAAATTTTTAACGTTAACTCGCAGATTGATTTTTATCGCCTGGGACTAACACACAGCAAATCATCACCCCGCCCCCCCCCACGCCCCTTACCGCGAAAGCTTGTGGGTAGGCAAGACCCATCGAGAAACGAGCCGTGAGACTCAGCGGGTAAACAAAGTGTGGTCGTAGTAGTAGCAGTAATAATAATAAGACACGTTCATCAGGGTGTGCAAAGCTACAATTTATATTTGAACGGAGCACAGCCGGCAAAACGCAGGATCGGCGGGACCGCGTTGATCCGTAGGGACCGGAGTGTGGGATCACGGCACCGTCACGCGAGTCCACGAATAGAGATGGCCCACCTTTTTAACCGCATTCGTATCACTCGTTTAACATCCTGCCGTATATATATAAAATATAAAGAAACACAACAAAGACGAATGCAAATTCAGCGAGCGCCTAATCTTATTTTTTTTTATATAAACGCAAGCGCGGAAGCAGCTCCGGTGCCGATTGCTGCCACAAGGCGGTTTTGCAAAGACAATACATTTTATATTCTTTTTATTATCGGAAAAGGTGCGATTTTTAGGCCCTCCTATCCTGTACGAATCCTTATATGGGTGCTCGTGTGTGTGGCTCTGTGTATGTATGCCGGGCATGGTGGTGGCCACCCACCCCATCCTGTGCCGTGCCAGCCTTGTATGTATGTATGTTGAACTTCTTTTACACCGTACGTAACCAACCGTGCTAATCAGAGGTGCTCGCGAACAGCACTTGCCCCAAAAGTCTGTGAATGCGATAAGGGGGTATCATCTTTGCCTTTGTGTGTGCACGTGTGTGTGTGCGCATGTGTGCACGTGTGTGCACGTGTGTGTGTGTGCATGTGTGTGTGTGCGTGCATGTGTGTGTGTGCGTGCATGTGTGTGTGTGTGTGCGCACGTGTGTGTGTGTGCACGTGTGTGTGTGTGCACGTGTGTGTGTGTGTGTGCACGTGTGCACGTGTGTGTGTGCACGTGTGCGCATGTGCACGTGTGTGTGTGTGTGCACGTGTGTGTGCGTGTGCACGTGTGTGTGTGCGCGTGTGCACGTGTGTGTGCACGTGTGTGTGCACGTGTGTGTGTGTGCACGTGTGTGTGTGTGTGCACGTGTGTGTGCACGTGTGTGTGTGCACGTGTGTGTGTGCACGTGTGTGTGTGTGCACGTGTGTGTGTGTGCACGTGTGTGTGCGGAGCAGTAGTGCAGCGGCTAGTGCCCTGTGCTACGAACCCGGTGACCCGAGTTCAATTCCCACTCATGGCTACCAACACCAGTGACGATTATCTGAACAGTTCATGGGCCTCCCCTAGGTGGACTCAACCTCAAATGAGTACCTGGTGCGGCGTGTAAACAATCCCCACTGGGGAGACAAAGGCGGCCAGGCGTAGTGCTGGCGACCCACCACTTCCGTGTACCGTGCCGGCCTTCACAGGTGATACACTAACAACCACTCGCCCCAAAAGTTTTATAAGGCTATGCGGGGGATCTTTATCTGGTCTTTGTCGTATGCACGTGTATGCATAGTACCTGCGTGCGTGCGTGTGCGTGCGTGCGTACGCATGCAAGCGCGGGTATAAATCTAAAATCCCAACTCGCCCCCCTCCCTTCCCCTCCCCTACCCCGCTCTCCGCTCACCACGACGCGTCCTCCTCCCGCAGAAGCGAACGTAAAACAAAAACCTCTACAAGTGCTCCGTGCAACGCTTGGCGTGCCACCCCGCGCCACCCGCCTCTCCGTCCCCATAGCCGCCCTCGCCGCCATTTCCCTCCCCAGCCTCCGACACGCCTCCATCCCCGTCCGCCCATTTGTCTGCGCCGACATCAACATCTACCCGGTCTCCACCACCACCACCGCCGCCGCCACCATCACCACCATCATCATCGTCGTCGTCGTCAGCGACGTAACAACCACCACCACCACCCTCGCTGCCGTCCCCTTCCACCACCGCCGCAGCCGCCAGCGCCCCGGCCTTACTCTCGATCGTGAGGATGCAGGTGCTGGCGGCGGAGCCCTTGGGGCTTACGGCCTTGCACATGTACTCCCCCTCGTCGTCCGGGAAGGTCTCGGGCAGGTAGAGGCAGTAGGTGTCCTCCCCGCGCACCACGAACTGGTACTCCTCACCGTCCTCCAGCGACTCGCCCTCGAACCACCACGTCACCTCGGGGCGCGGCGAGCCCACGATCCGCACCAGGAACCGCACCGGCTCGCCGTCGACCACCTGCACCTCGGTGGGCGAGGGAGGGAGGGAGGAGGGGGAGGGGGGGTGAGGGGATGGAGGGGGGCGGTCAGATAGCAGGTCAGAGGGGATAGGGAAAACAGGGGGCATCAGAGGGTTGAATTAATGAGCGAGCGAGTGGGTGAACTAACGAGTGAGTGAGTGAACGAATGAGCGGGTGGGTGGGTGACCTAACGAGTGAGTGAGTGAGCGAATGAGCAGGTGAGTGAGCGAGCGAGCGGGTGAACTAACGAGTGAGTGAGTGAACGAGCGAGTGGGTGGGTGACCTAACGAGTAAGTGAGCGAGAGAGCGGGTGGGTGAACTAACGAGTGAGTGAGTGAACGAGCGAGTGGGTGGGTGACCTAACGAGTGAGTGAGCGAGCGAGCGGGTGGGTGAACTAACGAGTGAGTGAGCGAACGAGCGAGTGGGTGGGTGACCTAACGAGTGAGTGAGCGAGCGAGTGGGTGGGTGACCTAACGAGTGAGTGAGCGAGCGAGCGAGCGAGCGGGTGGGTGAACTAACGAGTGAGTGAGTGAACGAGCGAGTGGGTGGGTGACCTAACGAGTGAGTGAGCGAGCAAGCGAGCGGGTGGGTGACCTAACGAGTGAGTGAGTGAGCGAGCGAGCGGGCGAGTGGGTGACCTAACGATTGAGTGAGTGGGGGGGGGGGCGGGGGTGACCGGGTGGCTCGGAGGTCAGAGCCGTGTTCTGTCTGCCTCGCGGCGCGACCCTTCACCTGTGTGTTCTTGAGGGGTCGCTTGAACCAGGGGGCCCCGGAGCGAGTCAGCTCGTCGTCGTCGTCCACCACCGGCCCGTTGAGGCCCAGTCCGTTCGGGGTCCCGTCCTCCTCCTCGCCTTCTTTCGGCTGCGGGCAAACGCAAGAATTTAGAGGCTAAGAAAAAAAACACGCGTGATAGAAATAAAGTGAGGCAAAGTTCCACTTGAGACAGTAAATCTGGCTGTGACGGTCCCACCTGATGACGGAGACTTGTGTTGCCTCCTACACGTCGTGATTTATTATTTTATTTCTATTATTATTTCTATTATTTGTATTATTAATTTTTTACCTACGTCACGAAAGCTTCAAATCTAAAACGGATGTGTGTACTTCGCGAAAAAAAAATAATTCGTCAATAATGACGTGCTATGAAGAAGGGCCATTTCCCGAAACGTCGCCTATATAACTAAAGCCATATATATTTTCCCCCACACACGGACACGTGCAATGTTATTGACGGATGTTGTGTGGGTGCCACAGCAGTGAGATGTTAACTACCTCGACTGGTAACACAGGAGGTCTTGGGTTAGATCCCGACCCTGATGCCTGTTGCATATTTGGAGTTTGCGTGTCTCTCTCCCTGTGGTCGTGTAGACTTTTCAACGTCACGCGATCAGAGTTTGTGGCTACTGCTGTACATCTCCACGTGATGATGATGAGCCACTTTCGTTGACCTATAATTTGTGATTGCCAGGCCGCTTCTGAAAAAGAGCTACCCAGCTCAGAGAAGCCTTACCTGGTACAGGTAGGAACAACAGGTTCCACACTGCCCACCAGGGATTATTTGTCTGTCTGTCGTGCATATGTGTATGTCGTGCACGAATGCGCTGTCCAACCAAGTTCCTACCTGCCCACTCCGAAGGAACGTATTCAAATAAAAATAGTCAAAAGTAAAACAGCAATCCGCTCTCACTCAGCCGCATAAATAAGTCTGCACTACGACACCTTAGCCACCTTGCCTCTGGCAAAAGAGCTATCAGGGCCACCCACCCCCCACGCCCCCCACCCCCGCGGTACGAACCGACAGTGACGCCGCGTCGATCTCCTGCTGCTCGAAGCGCATGCGCTGCATCTTCTGCTCGTCCACCCTGCGGCGAGCCTCCTCCTCCCGCGCGAGCGCCATCTCGGCGAAGCGAGCCTTCATGTCGGCGCGGCGAGCGCATGGCGCCTCCACCGTCCGCACCGGGTAAGACATCTCCTCCTCCTGGGTGGGCGGGCGGCGAATGAACGCGGTATCCCGGTTATGCGATGCGTTGTCGTCGAAAGTCGTCGTGTTTATGATTGCCGCGCTCGTTTGCCCGTGAAGGCCTCGCAGGAGCCTCTCCTTCGCGACTCTCCTTCGCAGTGGAGCGGACGACGATCGCGGCGCCGTGGGTGCCAAACGCCACGAGCGACCGAATGGGCGAGGAAGCGGACGAGCAGGCGAGCGGGCGAGCGAACGAGCGGATAGGTTGGCGAGCAGGCGAGTCAAAGAGCTGCCGAGTTACGGAACAAACGGTCGACCGATCGAGCAAGCGTGCGAGTGAGCGAGCGCGAGAATGAATGAGCTAGCGAGAGAGTGAATGAGCGAGCGAGCGAGCTTAATGGCTAGGCGAGCAGGCGAGTCAATGAGTTGGGGAACATACGATCGAGCGTGCGAACGAGCAAGGTTTTGACGCAAGCGTGTCAGCGGGTCAATGAACTAGAGAGCGAGCGTGCGAGTGAATGAGCGAGTGAGTGGGCTTAATAGGTGGGCGAGCGAGTGAGTCAAGCAGCTACTGAGAGAAGACAAACGAGTGAGCGAGGGAGCAAGCGAACGTGCCACAGGTTCGGAGAAGCGCTGTCATCGGGTCGGCGAACTAACGAGCAGCAACGAAAGCGAGCGAGGGAGCGAGCGAGGGAGCGAGGGAGCGAGCGAGGGAGCGAGGGAGCGAGCGAGGGAGCGAGGGAGCGAGCGAGGGAGCGAGGGAGCGAGCGAGGGAGCGAGGGAGCGAGGGAGCGAGGGAGCGAGGGAGGGAGCGAGGGAGCGAGCGAGCGAGGGAGCGAGGGAGCAAGCGAACGTGCCACAGGTTCGGCTCAAGCGCTGTCATCGGGTCGGCGAACTAACGAGTGAGCTCGAGAGCGAGGGAGAGAGGGAGCGAGGGAGGGAGGGAGCGAGCGAGGGAGCGAGGGAGCGAGCGAGGGAGCGAGGGAGCGAGCGAGGGAGCGAGGGAGCGAGCGAGGGAGCGAGGGAGCGAGGGAGCGAGCGAGGGAGGGAGCGAGGGAGCGAGCGAGCGAGGGAGCGAGGGAGCAAGCGAACGTGTCACAGGTTCGGCTCAAGCGCTGTCATCGGGTCGGCGAACTAACGAGTGAGCTCGAGAGCGAGGGAGGGAGGGAGCGAGCGAGGGAGGGAGCGAGCGAGGGAGCGAGCGAGCGAGGGAGGGAGGGAGGGAGGGAGCGAGCGAGCGAGCGAGCGAGGGAGGGAGGGAGCGAGCGAGCGAGCGAGGGAGAGAGGGAGCGAGGGAGAGAGGGAGCGAGCGAGGGAGGGAGCGAGCGAGCGAGCGAGCGGCCTTCGCACCAGCGTGAAGTCCTGTGCCTCCAGGTCATGCCGCTCCTGCTCCAGGGCCTGCCGGCGCGCGCGCTCCTCGGCGATCTTGCGCCGGATCTCCTCGCCCGAGAGCTGCTCCATCTGCTCGAACTTGGACTTGAGGCTCTTGGCCTTGATGGTGCCCGTCCTCTTGAGGGTCTTGATCTCCTCGTACTCCTTGCTCACCGTCTCCGAGCTCTCATTCACCTCGTCCTGAAGGCCACGCGCAGGGGGGGACGGCTCGATTAACGAGACGTTGAATTTACCTTCACCGCTCCCCCCCCCCCCCCCGCCCCCACCCCGTCGTCGCTCTCATGCGACTCCCGATGTCAGAATCAGGATCAGGATACAGAATTATAGTGGAGGAATCCGATGACCTGTGAAGCTCTTTTTCACCGATGTAACCAACAGGGGCAGGTCAAAGGTCACCAAAAAACTTAAAAATATAAATACACGGAGTGCAATGTAAATGAAAGGTATACAAATCACTAAAACAATCTACAAACAAAACGACTTATTGTTTTCTTACCCAGGTAAAGCCCACTGAGGTATTCACTTATTTTTCAGAAGCGACCTTGCCACAAGATGATTGGTCAACAAAGTGGCTTTTAACGTGGAAATTTACATCAACAAACGACTCTAAATTATCTCAATGCGCGTTTCCAAATGTGGAGAGAAAAACCGGAGAAAAAATCCGCGCCGCCACGGGGAGACAGAGACACAAACTCGAAATTTCCAGGCGTCAGGGTTGGCATCGAAACAAACGACCTCCGGCATACTAGGCGAGGGAGTTAACATCTCGCCACCGCGTCCCACTCTTGCACGCGGTTAGCTGCTGTTAGCTGCTGTACGTTGAACTTCTTTCGCACCGTACATAGCCACCTGCGCTAATCGCACGTGCGGGTAGGGGGGGGAAGGACCACATGAGCATTCACGTTCCCGACACGAGTTTCATCGTCCGTGGCCGACGCCGGCGACGGGCGGCATATCCGAACCGGTCCCGGCACAAACCTCCACTCTCCGTTCACACCAACCCCCGCGGCGCTGACCGGCGCAGCGAAGTACGGTCGAACGTCCCCACACGGTTTGTGCCCTGGATGCGGAGAATCGGTGCAAGAATCGCCGGCCTTCCTCCCCACCCCCCGCCCCCGATGTTCCCGTGATCGCGTGGATTTTTCTTCGGGCCCTCCAGCTTTTACCTCCACATTTAGGATCAACGTCACTTGTTTGGCCACTGCTATAAATTGCGCCTTTTGGCGTCATCTGGTCCAACACCATGTGAGATTAGGCTCTAAGAAAAGCTGTCTCGGGTGTGGACCAATCAATTTCAAGAACAGTGCATATCATTATCAGAGTTGTGTTTTTTGTTTGCATTCCGACCGCAGGTATTGTGGTCAATGCAAACATGACTCATTGTAAAAAAGGTGTCAGTTTTGTTGCCACATAAAAGGGTAAATAAAACAATTATCATATTTTGCTACTGGCAAAGGAGGTTCCAATGGTGACGATAAGCCACTTCGTAGCGCTACCCATTTGCGATTGTGAAAAAGAGCTGCGCAAGCCTCGCCAAGTCTCAGGTCTCGTTTTCAAGAGGGTCCCCCTGCTCCACCGGGGGATCTCCGATTTGCCGCTGCACGTGGGAGAGAAACCCCGGAGTGCGAGGGCCATCTCTCTCGCAAAAGGAGGGTGGACAAACTCAAAAGGTCTTTTTGTTTTACAGAAACGAAACTCCAGAGGACGACCCACCGGCTCCATGTGCTGCTTCTCCTCTTCCATGGCCCTCTTCTCCTCCTCCAGCTTGACGCGGCGGTCCTCGTCGTGCCGCCTCGCCTCCTCCTCGTGCTTGAGCCGCAGCAGCTCCTCGAAGTTGATCTCCAGCCGCCCCGGCCCCAGCGAGTCGCTCGAGCCGCTCGCGCCGCGCCGCAGCTCCTGGGCGTCTTCATCGTCCGGCGCCTGGAGCGCAACACAGCGTGTGACAACAACGTCACGGTCGTCACGGTCGCCGTGGACACGGTCGCCGCGGACACGGTCGCCGCGGACACGGTCGCCGTGACCACGGTCGCCGCGGACACGGTCGCCGTGACCACGGTCGCCGTGGACACGGTCGCCGCGGTTACGGTCGCCGCGGTCACGGTCGCCGCGGACAAGGTCGCCGCGGTCACGGTCGCTGTGGTCACGGTCGCCGTGGTGACAGTCATGGTCATCGTCTTCGTCACGGTCGCCACCGTCACGGTCCTCCTGCTAACATCGCTGCCGATACGTCGACTGCTGCTGCTGCCACCCCGCTCCCACCCTCGTCACCCCCCCCCCCACCTCACCTGTGCCCCCCCACCTCACCTGTGCCCCCCCCCCCACCTCACCATGCTGCGCCGGGCCTCGACGAAGCTCCTCTTCTCCTCGTCCAGACGGCGGCGCGCCTCCTCCTCGGCCTTGCGCGTCTCCTCCTCCTGGCGCCGCCGCTCGAGCTCCTCGAAGCTCAGCTTCAGCTTGCCGGGCAGCGCCTCGTCGCTGGCGCTCCCCGCGGGCGACGCGCTGCCCTCGCGATCCTCCCCCTCGCACTGCAGCGCCTGCACGGAGCGAGAGAGAGAGGGAGACATGGCGCGTGCGTGCGAGCGTTGCGGGCGTCCGTTAGAACTTCTTTCGCACCGTACGTAGCCGAACGTGTTACTCGACTGTCGGGAGAACACGCAAATGTACAGCGGGCTCCGGGTGGGGGGGGGGGGGAGTTAACATCTCATCGCCCGTGTGCTGCCCCCCCCGCGCGTGGTTCCCGTTGTGCCGCGTGGCCACGTCTCACCATGCTCCGGCGTGCCTCCAGCAGGGAGCGCTTCTCCTCTTCCAGTCGCTCGCGAGCCTCCTCCAGCTTCCGCCGCTCCTCCTGAACAACAACAACAACAACAACAACGGAGAAGAAGAATCACGCACACGCATGGATTACGGCCACGCACGAAAATCCTGCGCCATTGGAAGCGCGAGCCATCGATACGTTGCTATTAATTATTACCCCTATTATTAATTAGCCCATTACAAAGGGGGCGGGGGGAGGGGGGAGGGGGGAGAGGCACCTGCTGGCGATGTCGTTCCACCTCCTCGAAGCTCAGCCGCAGCTTGCCCGGCCGCAGCTCCGACGAGGCCTCCGACGAGACGCTCTCCACCTCGTCGCCGTCGTCGTCGAGGAAGCTGTCGCCTCCTTCTCCCTGCTGGGGGGGGGGGGACCGGGGGGGGGGCAGGGGGGGGCAGGGGGGGGCGAGCGGGGGGGGGACACCGCGCCGATGTTCGCTTAGTCGGCTGCACAGCTAGAGGGGGCCTGGGCTGGATTCCTGACTCGGGTGCCCATGCTGTGTGGAGCTGTCCCCCCCCCCACACCACCCCCCCCCCCGTTCTGCACAGTGTGTGAGTGAGTGGGGTTTGTATGTTCTCGCTCATTAGTTGAGATCACTAGCCCCCCCCACCCTCCCTCCCCGGGAATGAGGAGTGTGGGGTATAGGGAGAGGAGGGGCGGCGAGATGTTAACTACCTCGCCTGGTATTCGGGAGGTCGCGAGTTCGATCCCGACCCTGACACCTACTTTATATTTGGAGATTGCGTGTCTCTCTCTCATCATCATCATCACGGTGGCTAGGAGATGTTAACCACCTCGCCTGGTATTCGGGAGGTCGTGGGTACGATCCCGACCCTGACGCCTGCTGTACATTGAGTTTGCGGTGTCTCCTTCTCCCCGTGGATTTTTTTCGGGTCCATCGTGTTTTCCCCTCCACATTGAGAATACATGCGCATTTAGAGTATTTCGCGGATATAAATATCCACGTGAGCGATCGTTTGTGGCCACGTCGCTTCTGAAAAAGAGTTACACATCAGCTCGGTGTGGGGGCAGCGGCGGGGAGGGGCGGGGGGGGAGCCTTTCCCTGGTAAAAATACCAAATGGTAAACAAGATCAAGTGCAGCGGCGGTGGTGGGCGGCTGCACCTCGTGCTTCCTGGCCTCCAGGTACGCTCGCCGCTCCTCGTCGAGGCGCCGCCGCGCCTCCTCCTCCGTGCGCCGCCGCTCTTCCTCGCGGCGCTGGCGCTCCAGCTCCTCGAAGCTCAGCTGCAGCTTGCCCGGCACCGCCAGCGCCGGCTTCTCCGCTTGCGCCCTCGCGGTCGCCTCCTCCTCCTCCTCGTCCTACGCGGCCGGGTGCGCGGCGAACGGTTAACAGCGGCGGGCGCCGTCGGCAGTTCACGCGCGCGAACGCCGTTGGTTTACGCGGCAATTTCTAATTTTTAAATTTTAATTTGTGGTCGTGCTAAGACGTTTTTTTTTTTCAAACATCGATTCTCGTCCACGCCACATTTTCGGCGCCAGTTTCTAATTTGCCCGGTCGAGCTCGCCTATCTTGGTCACGGGCCCTTTCGGCTCCGTCGCATCGGCGGCCCGGGTCACTACCACAAAAAAATGTTGACGACCTCCGTCCTGGTCCTCTCCCAGTTCCCACCTGGTCGCACGGAAATCGACTTTGATGCCGACCTGGGCAGGAGCATTACACACGAAGATGCCTCCCCCCCCGCTGGGGGCAAGTGCTGCGAGCGAGCAGAACCACCTACGTAGGCCGGCACGGCGCACGTGGAGCGGAGTGGGATGGCCAGCACCACGCCAGGCCACCTTCATATAGAGAGCAGTCATTCGTGATAATTGCATCCCACAATGCTGTACATTAATTATATATAAGGGCCAAAGCTTATTATTTATAGAAAAAAAATCAAGTGAAATTCCTCAATTTTGAAATGAACAAACAAATCAGTAATTGGCACCAAAACAAACGAAGCACAAACAACAACAAATCCGATCACAACAAACACATGAGTCCATTGAGTCTCAACATGCCAGGCCACAATCGCAACTTCTAACACTCAAGCCGGGGACAACCTTCACGGGCGGGGGCCGTGGGGGAGTCACGGCCAAACGAGTTACGACGACTTGACACCAATCAGTCGAATGTCCAAAACGCGCTTTCCAATTTCTAAGCGTATGCCCGGATGAATACAAAATTAACCCGTAAAAACAAAGTTGTTCACTATAAATCCTTTATATGCGTGGCATCGGGGCGGCTAGAGTCCTCTCGTCCTCTGGCTTGAGATGGCTGCCACCTATGGGTCAGATGATTGTCTGGCAGCATTAAACAATTGGTAATTAAATATTTTAAAAAATTTCCCTAAACAGTGTAAAATTTTGGAAAAATGTTTTCACGAAAATGCATTGTCACGCACAACGAGTTTGTGTGCAAAATGTCAGCTCGATTGGATCACGGGAAGTGGCTTAAAAAACGACCGAAAGATTTGCACGGTCCTAAGCAAGCAAGCGAACTTAATATAAAGGATTTAAAAAGGCCTTTAGTTCGGATTTCAATCATACTGAGATGGAGCCTATTTGTCGGATGTGGAGTGGGAGAGTATACCGTATTGCCGAATGCACAAAGGCCATGCAAACTAAACTTTAAACTATTTTAATTGTACCAGCTAAGGCCGCACCCCGAGCTCTACAAACGTGACCCGGCCATCGCAAATTATAGCCCAACGAAGTGAAAGTCAACATCTCGCCAGCATGGCGCCCTGAGCGCATCGAGTGTGCGGACGAGGGAGCGAGCGAGCGAGCGAGCGAGGGGAGCGGAAGAGGAGGCGTGGGGCCGTCACCATGGCGAGGTACGAGCGGCGCTTGGACTCGCGGAACGAGCGGCGGTTCTCCTCGTAGCGCAACTTCTTCTCCTGCTCCTTCCTGCGCAGTGCCTCCTCCTCCTCGGCGCGCTTCAGGCTCTCGAAGTCGACGCTCAGCTTGCCCGGCGTCTTGTTCACTTCCGCCGCAGCCGCCGCCGGTGCCGCAGAGTCGGCATCGGCACCAACGCCGCCCTGCTCCTGCGCGGTGAGAGCGGTGACACGGAGCGAGAGCGGTGACACGCGGGGGGGGGGGGGGGGGGGGGGGTGAGGGGGGCGGGGGAGCCCAGCTCAACTCTAACCCCATGACCCCTAACCCCATGACTCCTAACCCCAACTCTAATTCCTGACCCCTGACCCTAACCCCAACTAGCCCCTGACCCTAACTCCCAACTCCAAACCCTGACCCTAATCCCAACTAGCCCCTGACCTTAACCCCAACTATAATCCCTAACCCCAACTCCAACCCCAACTCTAACCCCTGACCCTAACCCCCAGCTCCAAACCCTGACCCCAACCCCAATTGTTAACTACTTCAGCACACCGGCATGTTGGAACGCAAACCCACAACATTCACAACTCGAGTAGCTGCGACGATCACAACGACAACCACCTTCATCGGGCGACTTGCCAGAATTGTGAAGAACCAGCAGAACCAGAACCAGCAGCAGCAGAACCAGCAGCAGCAGAACCAGCAGCAGCAGCAGAAGCAGCAGCAGCAGCAGAACCACCAGCAGCAGCAGCAGAACCAGCAGCAGCAGAACCAGCAGCAGCAGAACTCCCCCGCTGCACTCCACCCCGCTAACCCCTAACCCCTAACCCTGGGATGGCAGGGGGGGGCGGGCGGGGGGTAGTCGTCACCCTGACCTCGGCGAGCTTCTTGGCGACCTCTTTCTGCATCTTCTTCTTCTCCATGATGTCCTGCTCGTGGCGGCGCCGCCGCTCCTCCTCCGCGCGCTTGCGCTCGTCCTCGGCGCGCGCCTTCTCCATCTCGGCGAACTTCCCCTTCACCGTGCCTGCGCGCGCCGGGTGTGGGGAGGGGGGGCGATTCTCTTCCGATTGATAATTGGTTTCTTACCCTTCCATCTGGCAACAAAACTGACGCATTTTTTACAAGGAGTCATAAAGGACTCTCTCTCAGAAGTCGATCTACGTTGTCCTTTATTGGGTTCGTAGAATCTCGTTGCCACGGCGTCCTCGCTCAGGCCCGCGACCCTCCCGACGTTCTCTCCACAGCGACTCGGCTGCCCCGATATGCAGTCTCCCTGCTGCTCCGATAGGCAGACTCCCTGCTGCTCCACATTGCAGCCACACCACTGCTCCGCTCTCTAGCGTCACTGCTGCCTCGTACACAGCTAGCCTCCCACAGCCGCTAGCTCTCTGCGTCTGACACCGATGGCTGACGGTGTCGACGTCTCCCACCGCGTGGCGTCCGCGCCACTCTCTCCGTCCTGCCCAGCGTGGTCTCCTCCTGTTTCACTCCGTCTCAACTCCCCTTTCCCCTTCCGGTTCTCCCCCTAAATCCTCTCTCCCACGTGACCCTAACTCCACCCACTTCCCACGTCACCCAGACTCCGCCCCCCCTCAATCCTTGCTCGCATTACACATGTTTGCATAGACCACAATACCTGCAGTCATAATGCAAACAAAAAACATAACTCTGATAATGTGCACTGTCCTTGAAGTTGATTGTTATGTTTTTCGTTTGCATTAGGACTGCAGGTATTGTGGTATATGCAAACATCACTCCTTGTAAAAAAGGTGTCAGTTTTGTTGCCAGATGGAAGCGTAAAAAAACAATTATATTTTTTACTGGCAAATGAGGTTCCAATGGTCTCTTCTGATTGTTTTCGGTTTTTGTCATTCGTGAGTGTCAACACGGGAGTCGGCGGGGGAGAGCCTCCCGTGAAATGTGGCGGCGGAGGGAGATCGCGGCGGCACGCGTCGCTCACCAGACAGCTTGGGGACGAACGTCTTCTTCACCTGCGCCGGCTTGGCCTCCTCCTCCTCGTCATCGGACGCGAGCAGCTGCTTCAGCTGCAACGGCGGCGGAGACAACGGCGGTGGTGACGGTGGTGACGATAACGGCGATGGGGACAACGATGATGGGGATGATGACGACGACGACGATGATTACGACGATAGCGACAATCATGATGACGTCGGTGGTGATGATGGTGACGGTGGTGACGATAACGGCGATGGGGACAACGATGATGGGGATGATGACGACGACGACGACGATGATTACGACGATAGCGACAATCATGATGACGTAGGTGGTGATGATGGTGACGATGGTGACGATAACGGCGATGGGGACAACGATGATGGGGACGATGACGACAATCATGATGACGACAGTGATGACGACGACAACGATCACATTGATGATGACAATGATGACGATGATGACGACGACAACGATAATAACACAAACGATGATGATAACGACGATTATGATGATAATGAGGATGACGACATGAAATATGTTCAGCGCAGTCATAACTGTCGGGCATCTGTCAACTCGTACACACACACGTACACGTATACACATACCCACACACACAAAGACAAAGATCCCCCGTGTAGCCTGACCAGACTGTAGGGGCAAGTGCTGTTAGCGAGTAGCAGCACCTATGAAGGACGGGACGGCACATGAGGGGGTGGGTGGCCAACACCACGCCCGGCCGCCTTTGTCTCCCCAGTGGCGATGTTTACACATTGTACCAGGTACTCATTTGAGACTGAGTCGACCTAGGGGAGGCCCAGGACCGGTTCAGATAATGGTCACTGGTGCTGGTGGATGTAAGCGAGAATCGAATCCGGGTCACCAGGTTCGTAGCGCAGCACACTAACCACTACACTACGGCTCCCCACACACCTACACACACACGCACACACCTACACACACACGCACCTACAACAAAGACAAAGATCCCCCGTATAACCTTAACCGACTGTTGGGGCAAGTGCTGTTAGCGAGCACCTATAAAAGCACGGTCACACGACGCACACACACACACACACCTACACACGAACACACACCTACACGACGCACACACACACCTACACATGATGCGCACACACCTACACACGCCTACACACGCACACACACCTACACACACCTACACGACGCACACACACGCCTACACGACGCACACACACGCCTACACGACGCACACACGCCTACACACGCACACTTACACACACGCCTACACACGCACACGCACACACGCACACACACACACCTACACACGCACACACACACCTACACACGCACACACACACACACCTACACACGCACACACACACACCTACACACACGCACGCACACACACCTACACACACGCACGCACACACACCTAGACACACACACCTACACACGCACACACGCAGGCACCTCCTGCTTGCGCCGGTTGAGCTCCTTCTCACGGCGGAACTGCTCGTTGCGCTTCTGCCGCTCGTCGTTGCAGCGGCGCCGCGAGCGCTCCTCCCTCACCTGCCGGTTCTGCTCGAAGCGGCTCACCACGTCGCCCTCGCCGCCGCCACCGTCGCTGCCCGTCGACAGCCGCGGGACGTACGTCCTCTGCACTGGCTTCCCCGTCGACGCCAGGATCCGCTGGGGGAGCGCGTCGGGGGAGCGCGGAAGGATGGGCGGATGAGCGGATAAATGGATGGATGGGATGGAGCGGATGGATGGGTTGGGATAGGATGGGATAATTGGGATGAGATGGATAGGATGGATGGGATGAGATATTATGGATGGGATGAGATAGGATGGGTGGATCGGTTGGATCAAATGTATGGGATGGGATGAGATAGGATGGATGGATCGGTTGGATCAAATGTATGGGATGGGATGGATGGGATGAGAGAGCATTGGAAGGAACAGGGAGGAATTTCGATAAGAATCGCCGCTGGCTTCCAAATTCTCAGCAAACAATAATATTATTAATATAAAATAATGACAATAATATGATTCTATTATAACATTACAATTTAGAACATAAAATATATGTTATTATTTAATCATATATTATTTAATAATAACCTATATTATTACGTTATTATTTAATAATAACATTATTTTATTAAAAAATTAAACGGCCAAGGTGCAGCCCCGCAATTGCTCGCTCAGAAGGGGGACACAACTCTCCAGGGAGTTCCACGGAGATCCCCTCGACCGGAAGGGGGTCCCTCCTTTGGCCTACTCTGCCACGCCGGCCAGCGAGAGCGGCCATCCCTTCCCAGACTCCCCGTGTGGCGCACGCATTCACACCGCTGGCTGGACCAGACGCGGCGAGCGGAGATTCAAGAAACGTATCAGGAGGCGGAGAACCCGAAAACGGCGAACTTGAGACTGCGACGACACTTAACCGCCGCTTCCGGCAAAGCGGCATCCTGAAGGTTCGCCAACAGTCGTAACCTCACGATCAACTACTCAACATTGGCCCTGGAATAAAAAAATTAACCCGTAAAAACAAAGTTTTTCAATATAAATACGTTATATGCGTGGCATCGGTTTTATTTTATTATTCATTTCTGTTTTTCTTGAGTAAGAGTTTCATTTTTATCACATTGGTATTTAAAATTAAATATGAAAACATTTTTTTCCTAAAAAGTGTAAAGTTATGGAAATTTTTTTTCACGAAAATAAATTGTCACGCACAACGAGTCTGTGTGCAAAATGTCAGCTCGATTGGATCGCAGGAAGTGGGTTAAAAAACGACCGAAAGATTTGCACGGTCGTAAGCGCGCAAGCAAGCAAGCAAGTGAACTTAATATAAAGGATTTAAAAAAACGATTCGAATGGCACCGTGTGCCCACCTGTGACAACTTGAGCTTTGATGATTGGCACTGTCGCTGGCTGGTTGGAGGCGGAGGTGGTGGTGGGGGTGGAGGGTTCAAATAAATAAATCGAAACGACAGGACACGAGGAAAGCCACTGCAGATGCTGTGCCAAGCGGCAATTTGCTTTGATCCTGGGCCACCGTCTCTGGCGGGCTTGGCGGCAGACGAAGCCATCGATTAATTTCATCCGCACTCGGATATCGTTGACTCGGGGGAAGGAAAAAAAAAAGAAAAAACGCTTCGTCGACGTTTTCGTCGCTCGTGTAATTTCGTTGACGAAACGAACGGCAAGCGTGGGTGGGTGTTGGGGAGGCGTGGGGGCGGGGGGGTGTTGGGGGGGGGTCACCTCTGCCTTGTGTGCAACTTCCGTCATGGTTGCGTCCACAAAATTCCCGACTCAGAGAGACGTGGCGGTGGCGACGACGGTGGCGACGGCGTCAGGGCTTGGAGAGATGTTCGTCTCGGTCGTCCGTCTTGCCAGCGACGAGATTCCCGCGAGAACGCGCCGGCACGGACGGTGGACGCACGCGGAAACGGACACTGGGACACGCAACGGACACACAAAGGACACGGCATCGCCGATTAGTGCGGTCGGCTACGTAAAACTCCAAATATACAGCCGGCGTCAGGGTTGGGATCGAACCCGCGACCGCCTGTATACCAGGCAAGGTAGTTAACATCTCGCCACCACGTCCCACTCTTGTATGCGGTTAGCTGCTGTACGTATGTTGAACTTCTTTCGCACCGTATGTAGCCACCTGCGCTAATCGCACGTGCGGGCGGGGGGGAAGGACAACAAACTAAACACACAAGTTGTTCTATCTCCATGCTCAGTTCTCCCTCTATGAGCTTCTATTCCATGCCACGTCTCATCCCTCGTCGTACCTCCCTATCCTTAGAAATCCATCAGCTTGCATAGACTCAAACTCAGATACTTTTACATGGCCCATAGACTTAGAGAGACTTGTAGATTCAGATACTCTTACATGGCCCATAGACTTACAGAGAAACTTGTAGATTCAGATACTCTTACATGGCCCATAGACTTACAGAGAGACTTGTAGATTCAGATACTCTTACATGGCCTATAGACTTACAGAGAAACTTGTAGATTCAGATACTCTTACATGGCCCATAGACTTACAGAGAAACTTGTAGATTCAGATACTCTTACATGGCCCATAGACTTACAGAGACACTTGTAGATTCAGATACTCTTACATGGCCCATAGACTTACAGAGAGACTTGTAGATTCAGATACTCTTAGATGGCCCATAGACTTACAGAGACACTTGTAGATTCAGATACTCTTACATGGCGCATAGACTTAGAGAAACTTGTAGATTCAGTTACTCTTACATGGCCCATAGACTCGCACATCTTCTAAGCCAGAAGCCACCACTATTGCATGGGGTGGGTCGGCTGTTTGGATATCCTCTCTCCAACAGTCGCATCCACCGTCCTCACATCTCACTCCATCGCATCTCCCCTTCCGTCTCCCCCCACCCGCATCTCCCATGTCTCCTCCTCCCTGTGTCCTGCACTTGTGGGCACTTCCACAGCACAGACGTGAGGGTTCCCAGGTTAATGATTTAAACTCACATTTCAAGTTAGCTGTAAACAAAAAATTAACTTTCAAGTAATTTGTTTAATCTTCAATTGAAGGTTAATTTTTGAAACCGAGACCCAAAAGTGGGCTAAAACCCAACACAAAACCTGTGACAAGAGACTGCAAGGATTTAAAACTCCAACAAATGACTGCCGAGCGAGATTCTGCCGAAACATTTTGACAGAATCTGCTAATAAGTGAACGTAAGTGGGACAAATGTTCAATTACGACAGGCCACTGCACCAACCAAACCTCTCGACCTCTTCTGACAGGCGATCCGTAGCGAGTGCCCGACGTTTCAAACCTCCTCGCGAGAGGTTCGTCGAGAGAATAAAATTGCGAATCTCGTCCCGCCGAGCGGCGAGAAACGGAAACAAGACGGGCGAGGTCGAGCGGCGAGCGATTCCGTCCAAAAATAAACCGCGCAACCGTTTTAGACGAGGCCATCGCGGCCGAAACACGCACAAAAAAGTACAAATCTTCTGCCGAGCCACAGCGAGTTTTACAACGGCAAACAATCCCAGCAAAAAATAAACGCAGACTCTAATCGTCCGACACCCGCCCTGCAAAGTCGGACGAGACGAACCTTCAAGACAACCTTGCTCCCCCGCCGACCAGGTCGACACAGCTCCTCTCTAGCCAAGCCCCAACTTGTCCTCAAAAAGATCTCCTCGCGGACGCAGTTAACCCCCTTATGACAACATACCCGACGATCAGCAACGATGGGGCACCGCCGGCGGTCCAGGGAGCTGCTGCTGCCACCGCCACTGCCACCGTTGTCCTTGTCGTCGGCGCAGAGGGGGGCCCGTTCGTGGTCGCGTGCGTGAGTGCCGGCGGGTGGTGTATTTCAGCTGACCGACCGCATGGCTCTGGAATGCCTCCGTGGGTCCAGCTAAAAATACATTCGGCCAAAGTTGCTTGGGGCCCCGCTGGCGCTGCCGCTACCGTCGGTCCGGGGGAGGAGGTGGGGACGTGGGGCGGTGGGGGTGGGGGGGGCAGTGATCGCCGGAGACGGAGGGCGCTAGGTGCGGCGTGGGCCACGTAAGATCCACGAATAGGAAGAGGAGTAATTCCCCTGCCCACCACCGCTGCCCGTTGTAAACACCCTCGCGCCAGACGCTAAGGGCGCAGCCCCGAAACTGGTTGACCCCCGCCGCTGCTGGCAGATGCCCCCCCCCACCACCCCCCTCCCCCCACCACCCCCTCCCCTCCCCCTAGTGGAGGCATAAACATAACGGTCAGACTAAATCTTGACTTAAAGCTTTCGTGACTGCAGGAATTCATATTCTTTGGGTAGTTCGGTAAAGTCACGTAGATAGGTTCAAAGAAAAGAACACCCCCATTTCCTGATGACGGCTTGTGTTGCGATCGAAACGTCGTAGTTATTTTGTTATTTTGTTATTTTCTTTGAACCTATCTACGCGACTTTACCGAAAGACCCAAAGAATAGGTCAGACTAAACACAAAGAATCCTAAATGGAATCTCGGCCTGGCTCTACGAGCCTCAGATATTAACTCGAAAGCACCAATATGAACACACAGTTGCCTTGGTCTGGTACCAGTGAGCCACAGCTGTTGAAACTGAACCCGACTACATTTTTGGCCTACTCTTCCACAATGACCATACAACCACACTGGACCCTGCCACACGTGACCTGATGATCGACTAACCGTCCGTGCTGCTGCTGGTGGTGGTGGTGAAGCTATGGACACTGCCGGGTGGATGGAGGGCGACACGTGGGAAACGTGGGGGGGGAGGGGGATTTAATAAACTCGCCACTGTTGCCTCTATCCGCTGCACCAGGAGATCGTATCGAGTGCTACGCTGTCCGTCACACCGCTCGCCATGGCAGCGTGAGAGCTATAGGCACTAGTAGATGTTACCTACCTCGCCTGGTATGCAGGAGGTTGAGGGTTCAACCCCGATCCAGACCCTGACGCCTGCTGTATATTTGGAGTTTGCGTGTCTCTCTCTCTCATCATCATCACGGTGGCTAGGAGATGTTACCTACCTCGCCTGGTATGCAGGAGGTTGAGTGTTCAACCTCGATCCAGACCCTGACTGACGCCTGCTGTATATTTGGAGTTTGCGTGTCACTCTCTCTCTCATCATCATCACGGTGGCTAGGAGATGTTACCTACCTCGCCTGGTATGCAGGAGGTTGAGTGTTCAACCTCGATCCAGACCCTGACTGACGCCTGCTGTATATTTGGAGTTTGCGTGTCACTCTCTCTCTCTCATCATCATCACGGTGGCTAGGAGATGTTAACTACCTCGCCTGATATGCAGGAGGTTGAGTGTTCAACCTCGATCCAGACCCTGACGCTTGCTGTATATTTGGAGTTTGCGTGTCACTCTCTCTCTCACCATCATCACGGTGGCTAGGAGATGTTAACTACCTCGCCTGGTGTGCAGGAGGTCGTGGGATCGATCCCGACCCTGACGCCTGCTGTATATTTGGATGTCTGCGTGTCTCTCCACGTGGTCGCGTGGATTTTTCTCTGGCTCCTCCGGTTTTCCCCTCCACATTTAGAATCGACATCATGCGTTCAGAACATTTGGCTGCTATACATTTCCACGTGTTGATGATGATGATGAGGATAATAAGCCCACGTCGTTGTGAGTAACATAGTTCAGTGGGTCCTTACCTGGTAATTATAAAAAAACTAAAATCGAATATTAATACATTAAGGGCCCTGAAAAGTGACTGAGGTTTGTTTATTCAAGGGAGAGGAGTGGAAGGAGTGTGGGGGGGGGGGCACAGTGGTGAGAGCAAATGTTAAGCGAGGGGCTTCCAGAGTTTTCCTCAAGGGAAGACGAGCAAAAAGGCACCAGGGTAAATAAGCTAAAGAAAGAACAGTAATTAAACATCGCTTACACTGAACTCTCAATTGTGCAGGAGACTTGGTTTGGCGCCATGAGACTTCCATAGACATTAAATCTGAACGCTGCGAATCTCAAGGGACCCCTTAGTCTGCCTCTTATGAGCCTTAGATATTCACACTTAACACCTGTGAATCCAACATGAGCTTTAGTCTGACTCTATGAGCCTTAGATATTCACACTTAACACCGTGACTCCTGCAGGAGCTTTAGTCTGGCTCTATGAGCCTTAGATATTCACACTTAACACCGTGAATGCTGCAGGAGCTTTAGTCTGGTTCTATGAGCCTTAGATATTCACACTTAACACCGTGACTCCTGCAGGAGCTTTAGTCTGGCTCTATGAGCCTTAGATATTCACACTTAACACCGTGAATCCTGCAGGAGCTTTAGTCTGGCTCTATGAGCCTTAGATATTCACACTTAACACCGTGAATCCTGCAGGAGCTTTAGTCTGGCTCTATGAGCCTTAGATATTCACATTTAACACCGTGAATCCTGTAGAAGCTTTAGTCTGGCTCTATGAGCCTTAGATATTCACACTTAACATCGTGAATCCTGCAGGAGCTTTAGTCTGGCTCTATGAGCCTTAGATATTCACACTTAACACCGTGAATCCTGCAGGAGCTTTAGTCTGGCTCTATGAGCCTTAGATATTCACACTTAACACCGTGAATCCTGTAGGAGCTTTAGTCTGGCTCTATGAGCCTTAGATATTCACACTTAACATCGTGAATCCTGCAGGAGCTTTAGTCTGGCTCTATGAGCCTTAGATATTCACACTTAACACTGTGAATCCTGCAGGAGCTTTAGTCTGGCTCTATGAGCCTTAGATATTCACACAACACCGTGAATCCTGTAGGAGCTTTAGTCTGGCTCTATGAGCCTTAGATATTCACACATAACACTGTGAATCCTGCAGGAGCTTTAGTCTGGCTCTATGAGCCTTAGATATTCACACTTAACACCGTGAATCCTGTAGGAGCTTTAGTCTGGCTCTATGAGCCTTAGATATTCACACTTAACAACGTGAATCCTGTAGGAGCTTTAATCTGGCTCTATGAGCCTTAGATATTCACACTTAACACCGGGAATCCTGCAGGAGCTTTAGTCTGGCTCTGAGCCTTAGATATTCACACTTAACACAGTGAATCCTGCAGGAGCTTTAGTCTGGCTCTATGAGCCTTAGATATTCACACTTAACACTGTGAATCCTGCAGGAGCTTTAGTCTGGCTCTATGAGCCTTAGATATTCACACTTAACACCGTGAATCCTGTAGGAGCTTTAGTCTGGCTCTATGAGCCTTAGATTTTCACACATAACACTGTGAATCCTACAGGAGCTTTAGTCTGAGTCTATGAGCCTTAGATATTCACACTTAACACCGTGAATCCTGCAGGATCTTTAGTCTGGCTCTATGAGCCTTAGATATTCACACTTAACACCGTGAATCCTGCAGGAGCTTTAGTCTGGCTCTATGAGCCTTAGATAATCACACTTAACACTGTGAATCCTGTAGGAGCTTTAGTCTGGCTCTATGAGCCTTAGATATTCACACTTAACACCGTAAATCCTGCAGGAGCTTTAGTCTGACTCTATGAGCCTTAGATATTCACACATAACACCGTGAATCCTGCAGGAGCTTTAGTCTGGCTCTATGAGCCTAAAAGTCTTAGTGGAACTCGAGTCTGGCCATATGAGTGTTGTGTTATTTACGCTGAGAACTCAATGTAGGCTAGTCATCGTAATGACTACGTGGACATTGAACTCAGTCCGCTGGGTTCGTAACGCAGTGCGCTTCTTTTAAAATGATTCCTCATCATCACCATCATCATCATCCAGGGTCAATCAGCCAAGACAAAAGCAAAGATCCCCCGTGTAGCCGACACAGACTATTGGGGCAGGTGCTGTTAGCGTGTTGCTAGCTTGCACCTATGAAGGCTGGCACGGCACACGAGGGGGTGGGTTGCCAGCACCACGCCCGACTACCTGTCTCCCCAGTGGCGATGTTTACACACCGCACCAGGTACTCATTTGAGGCCGAGTCAACCTCGAGGAGGCCCAGCACCGGTTCAAATAATCGTCATTCGTGTTTACATTGAGCGGGAGTCGAACTCGTGCCACGGGGGGGTTTCGTAGCGCGGTGCACGAACCACTACACCGTGGACGCGTGGATTTGTCTCCGGGTCCTCTGGTTTTTTCCCCTCCACATTTAGAAGCACGCGCCCAGAATATTCGGCTGCCGCTATCAATTTGCACGTGATAAGCCACTTCGTTGCGCTATCACTTGTGGCCAGGTCGCTTCTGTACGTCATCGGCGGCATGCTGGGCAATCGCCCTTGCACATGGCACGCAGAGAGGCCACAGAGGTATGTGCTCTGAGAAGAAGGGCCCATTGCCCGAAACGTCGGACATGACATTTTTTTTGGGATCATATATTTCATTTTATGGTCACAGTGTCACTGATGAACGCGTTGAGTTTTCGTCATTATTATTGTTGTTTCGATTTAAAGCTTTCGTGACTGCAGGGAATTCATCTTCTTGGTTCTTTCGGTAAAGTCACGTAGAAGGGAAGTAATAAAATAATAAAAATAAAACGTAATAAAATATGTTTTTTATTACTTCCCTTCTACGTGACTTTACCGAAAGAACCAAGAAGATTATTGTTGTTGTTGCTTTTACTCATCTTAACGGTGCGTGAATGATGCCGTTGACCCGTGTGTGTTCTCGAGTCCGCGTCGTTCCTCGGTTTCCGTCTCGCGCGGTTCATTTCAAACGGAGCAGCTCTCAGTGCCGCGTCGCGCAGACTTTTCCCTTTTTCGCGATGCGCATTCGTCGCCACCAACGGCAGCGGCGAGCCCTAACCGTATGTCGTAGCAGGCCGTGCACCCACCGATGAAACTAAAAGAAAGTCATTTCCTATACCCCCAGCACCCGCCCCACCACCCAAAAGAATAACGTCAAAATAATGTAAC